TGTACCTCACAGTCAGCAGACACATTCCAGCCAATCAGCAGCAGACCCTCCCTCCCAGACCCTCCCACCTCCTGGGCAGCATCCATTTTACATTCATTGTGAAGCTGCATTCTTAGTGAGCTGTCCAGGAGGTGGGAGGGTCTGGGAGGGAGGGTCTGCTGCTGATTGGCTGGAATGTATCTGCTGACTGTGAGGTACAGGGTCAAAGTCTGCTCAATGAACGGCGAACCGTTCGGGACATCACTAATAGAGATTCAAGCTGAAATCTACACGCTAGTTAATGTCTATGCACCTAATAATCCTTTAAATAAATATTTCTCAAACCTATTAGATAAAATTGATAAGATCAAACAAAATGTTCTTTTCTAAATCTATATCCTCGGAATAGCCCTCTAAGTGCTATTGTGTCTAGGATTAACTCAAATCTTATCCTTCACTTACCTTTTACCAAAATTCCTTCTACTTCTTTCTTAATTCAACTCTTTATTATTAACTATTTTACATATATTCTATTACCTTTCAGTGTGTAAGAAGAGAGTAGAAAAAGGGCAAAAGAAAAAAATATATATATATATATATAAATAAAAAAAACTAATTTTCCCTTTTTCTTTCTCTCATTTCCCTTTTAAAAATAAAACAAAATCTCTATACTTTTCTTGCATCCCATTTTAACCTATATTTCAAATCCATGCCAAAACTGTTATACACATATCATAAGTACATTTGCGATACCATTACCAACTTTACTTATAGATTTTACTTGATTTACTTTTATGTCGCCATCTTATATTTTAATATATATTCTCCCCCTATTTCCCTATCTCAATCCTCAGTCCTGACTTATCTTCCACTCTTGCTCTCTTTTTTCCAACCATTTTGTTATTTTCTCAAGTGAGTCAAAATGTTCAGACATCCCATCCACCGTTACTCTAAGTTTGGTTGGAAAACCCCACCTATATTTTATATTGTTTTCCATCAAGCGAATCGTAGTCGGTATAAACTGTTTTCTAGCTTTTCTTGTCTAAAAGGACAAATCTAGGAAAAAAATTTATGTCCTTAAATTTCCCCTCTTTTATTACTTCTTGCCTTGAAGCTCTTAGAATTTTCTCTCTGAATGGATAGGAATGGCACCAGATAATTATATAACTTGGTATGTCCTCAGGTAAGCTTCTCGGTTTAACTGTTCGATGGAATCTTTCAAGGAAATTCACTGTATTGTCCACACTGACTTTTAGGGCCTTGAAGAGTTCAAGAAGAAACATTTCCATTTTTTCTTGGGCAATAAGTTCCGGAATTTTCCATATTCTCAGATTGTTTCGTCTGCCTCTGTCTTCTATATCTGTGATTTTTTTTCTACTAACTCCATTATTCTTCTTTGTTGTTTGTCGATTGTATCTTTCTGTGTTTATGTTGTGAATTCTAAATTTTAAATTTTTTGTTCATTTCTTTTGACTTTTTGTCCAATCTCCAATAGATCTTTTTTCAGGGCAGCATAATTGCCCTGCACTTCTTGTTTTATCTGTTCTAGCTGCAACACTAGGCACTCTCTTAAATATTCAGGGGTTACCATTTGTTGTTCCACTGGGTCCTCTTTTTCTGTACTTTCATTTATATCTCCCTTTTCTTTAATGAGTGCAGCTTTACTTGGAGTGATTATCTGTGAGTTTTCTGTGATGCTTTTATCTGCCTGTGGCAGGAAAAAGTTTGAAAGTCTCTTGTCTTGCTTGTCTTTCTTTTCTCTCTCTTTTTTGAGATATATTTTTGGTCCTGTTTGTGCTCTACAGGTTTTCTGGAGGTCATTTTAAGTAATTTCTTGCTATTTTCTATATACTTGTCTTATTGCCTTGTCGCACTTTGTGCTTGGATTTAGGGGTATTAACTTGGCAGAACTAGCTTGTTCGACACAGGTTAGAGTAATTCCCTCTGGATGAGGGTGCTCAGTCTAGACACATCCTTTAGTTTGACTTTACCCCATTCACTAAACAGCAACTTTCTTCCTTTCAGAGTTTTTAAGGTTTATTCTGCTTTTATCTGTTTATAAATATCTGTATAAAAAGTAATATTAACATACGCTTTTAACAAAGCCTTTGTACTCGCGGTACCCAGAGTTCTGCCTTGTATTCTGTCAGAATCTGCTACATACGATGTCTTATAGTTTGCCTCCACACTCCAAACTCCAGGCTCAATTATCTGCCGCTATCACCCTGCAGCAGGTCTCCTTATGAGGCTGTCCCCATTATGCCACGGCTTTCTTCAAACCTATCCTTCAGTGCGTGGGCGCTTTAGCTTCTTCCCTGCTTTCGGTCTCTTTTTCACCATGTGGCAGAGCAAACCGCTACTATTCTCCCCCACCCCCCCGAGTACGGGAAAGCAAATTTCAATGCTGGACGGCTCATTCTGTATTGGCATGGAGTTCCATCGCTCAGCTCATCCACATGACGTGCATGCAAGCGTGCAACGTCACGTCGCCACCCCCCACCGAGGAGTATTGTTAATGTTCAGTATGTCTTATTGTTATAGTGCTGTACTGCCTTGCATTGTGCAAATGGGGATCGATGATTTGGAAAACAAGTATTGAATTTAAATAAACTTTCTGTTAGTATAATCAGGTGAATATACTCCATGCCCCCTCCCGGCAGGAGAGAGAGGACACCCAATGAGCTGCTCCTTCTTCTGCCAGAAACTTGGCTGTCAGTACAACACAGGACTACTCTGTACTTATGAGCGCCTAGCATTTAAATGCCAACCTTACTCAAAACGAACTCCAGACAGTTTGCATATTTCCAAAAGATGGTATATAAGACTGTATATCACCCACTATTTCAGCGCCAGGACGCTACTAACTATTTGTGACATACTGAACTTTTCTATTGTGAGACTGCTCACAATAGTCTCATTTAGAAAGGCCACAATAACAAATTACTGTTTGCTAGGCTGTTTTTATTAGGATTTTTATGTTGTATTGTCCATTGGTTTAGTACACAAACTGTGTGTATATATATATTGGGATTTACTGCAGGTGGTTTTTCATGCAGTGTTCTATTAAGGTTTGATTTATGTATTTAAGACTCTTATAGGTTTTAATAAGGGATTTGTCATCCAGTATATTGCACTTCCTCGAACGTTCTATACTTTTTATGGTGTTCTTGGGAAGTGGAGGGACTTTCCTTTGGCTTGAGCTGCAACAGACAGTCTATTTGATCATTTTTAAGAACACTCTGGTTTTCTACACTATTTAATTCCCTCCCCCCCCCCCTTCCCTATTTTCCCCCCTACATCTGGTTCATATGATGATAGCTTTAATTTGGTTAATACATATGGAATTCCTGTAAATCAATAGATGGTAATACAGTATACCCTGGAAAGGGGAAAAGTGGAGACGCAATATGCTTTATTCACTTCTTTCACTATCCTTTATCAAGTTCCTGCTTATAAGTGAAGGTGCCAAATAAGTGATTGAAAGAACATAAATAAAAGTTCATTATTTTCTCTTTTCATAAAGGGTTACTCCGAACACCATAACCACCACGTTGTATTTCTATATGAGCAGCATTTTATAGCAAATGTGAATTTGGTGCACATGTAGAGCATGCTCACACTCCCCTCCATGCCGCCAATGTCCTCCCCTCAGCCCTCATGACATCCCTCCCCATCCGGCAAGGGGGAATGACACACCCAACGCTGTGAAAGATCGGGCTGCAGGAATCTGGCCTCAACACTGGATCAAGGTGAGTTGTGACTTGATTTATTTCTTTATTATTATTTTTAGGGATGGGGGGAGAGGGTGGACCAGGACAGCAAGGATTACTATAAACAAACCCAGTGTTTTATGAAAGCATTCATTTTTGGTAGCAGTAACTCTTGAACAGGTCATAAATATCCTCTTAAATAGGGCGAGATGAAAAATCTAAATTTAAAAAGCAACATGTTGGATTTTTTTCACGGAGACAATTACTGGGACCTTTAATGACCTGGAGGCACCTTGAGTACGTGTCTGTGAGACAGTATTTGTGGTAGTATCTGTGTGCAAGTTTGGACATATGTGTTGGGTTAAAATGGTTTTGTAAGGGACCCTGTGATTTCTGATGGCGGCCCTGTATATATCACAAAACCCTATTTCATAAAAGGATAATACACAGTTTGACAACCATTTTACTCAAAACTTTCTGACATGGAATACTGAATCTCTATGCAGAAAGAGCTGCGTTATATAAAAGTCCGGCTCAAGTGGATAGCACAGAGTCAATGAAAATTGAATTACTAAAAATCTGCATCCATTTCTGTCAACTATCATCACACAGATCTTTACTCAATATGCCAAGAATATTTTCTTTACTTTGTTACCAAAAAAAAAAGAACAGAAGCGTTCAAGTCTGTGGTTTTGGAATCATGAGCTCCGAAAAGTGTCTGCTGAACTTTTTAATTAAAAAAAAAAACTGAACCTTATTGAAACTACAGTTAAAGGGGAGCTGTATGCATCATAACTGTTGCAGTCTGTTGTAGTGATGATGGTGTTAGGAGGCTGGGTTATACTGTTTTACAGTGGTTTTATGCAAATTTAGCGTCTGTGGGTGTCCGTGGCCTGATCCATCTACCCCTAGACCGCTTGCGTGGAAAATGCACCTATTCACAATGTCAATTTAGTCCATATGTGGATGGCATCGATTGTCTGGGGCATCAGCTAAATTGCTCAGTCAATTAATGCTGTCCAAATATAGAATTGATATTGTAACTTGTGAATTGGTGATATGGACAGAAAGTGGTGTGGCTAATGTTCGTTAGTGACAATATAGGCTTTAGATAGATTAGAGTCCATTTTCTTATCCATAGGGTCATGTAATGATCTCGCACTATCCACAGGGAGGGTGGTCTTTTTGGCCAATCGGACTATAGCTGCATCCACTTTGGGGGCAAGATCCCAAGATGCACTGTCATTCGCTTTAAAAGGGTAAAGCTTGGAAAAGCGATCCTGAATAGAGACCCCTTTTTTTTCAATTTTCTCAAGTCTGCAAAGTGTTTACTAGAAGCAGTCTCTTCCTCTCTCTTATCACTAAGATCCAGGGTATCACGAACAGATTTGATGAAAGATTCGATCTTCTTGTTGTCAATGAAAGCAGTAGAGGAACCGGAATCTCCATCTTCAGATGAAAAATCTTCTTCCTCAAAAACTGGGGAATATCTTCTTCAGAACTGCCATTATAATCATCTTCAGGGCTGAAAGACCTACGTCTTTTCTTAGTTTTCTCAGCCAGTCGAATGAACTTCCGCAAGTGCTTGGCCAATATAGGATAGAACATCTGGATCCGGCGCTGAAGGACCCGCAGCTGCTTTGAGACATGCCAAACAAAGTCTTTTCCCAGGAAGCACCTAGTCATCCCAGGCTTCACGCAATGGGGTCTTATCCTTCTTTTTCTTATATGAGGATCTGTGAGCAGAACTAAACTTCCATGTTTTAGACAGCTGGAATGCACTCTATTATCTTACTATATTTTATTATATTTTATTAGTACTAAAAGAAAAAGTGACTTACTCCGAACCTCGAGACTGTAACCTATTTTTTAAAGAAGGGTCGGGGGACTTCATCCTAAGTGGGCAGCTAGAAAATAAAAACAACATTCTAGCCTCCAAAAAAAATAAAATGCTAATTATACTATTCCTATATAATTACCCCTCATAAACTCCAGAATCTAAAGGATTTCCTGGATAGAATATAAAAACAAAACAAGAAAAAAAAAAAAAATAAGTAGTTAATGCACTTGCCTGCAGCCAGATGACACAGGATAATAGTTGCAAACAGACACTAGCAACCATAAAGGAAACAGGTACCCAAAACAGGTAAGAAAATTGTATCTGCTTCTTTAAATACAGAAGATTGAAAGGAATCTCCTCCTCGTAACAGGCCTTGCTTCGGCGTGCGTTTCACAACCGGAGTGAGTGCCGTGATAGGCTGAAGTGCCAAACCCGGAAGAGCGGAAACCGGAAAATGACAAAAGTGGAATGCACGTGTCATAGGCGTGCGTTTCAAAATGCGTTTCACTGCCAGAACATACTTTGCTAAATGAGAAAAGAGGCTGAAAGGAATCCCACAGCAGTTGGAATCCTCAGGAAACTAGATAATTTGTCCAGATACAGACCACAGGCAATGGGAAAGCCAAGGAAACCCCAGAATTATACTGCAGGTAGGTGTACCCTTATGCGGGACTTATCACCCCAACGAGTCTGTCACATCCAGCTGCTACCTATAGGGTCACTGCAGCATATTTGCTCGGTCACTCAGGGGAGAATTCTCCAGGGGGTCGCCCTTCGTGAGGCGCCGTGTCCTGAGGCTTCCATGGGGAGAGAAGCTGAGCTCCCTATGGGCTCGGGGTACAATAAGACCCGAGTAAGCCACAAAAGAAAAAGCAGAAGGTGAAACATCCTATGTCCTTGAGAAGTGGACAGGACAAAAGACTGGGGGGACAGGGGAGGGAGTCGTTCTTTTATTAGGAGTTGTTTCCTGTCCAACTGAGAAGTGGGAGGAGCTATACCCACCTGTAGTGCTGCCATGGATATATCTGGGAAAACATTATTGCAGATCTACAAGATATTTACCTCTTTAATAAAGATACACTCTCAAACAAGAAAAAGATACTTTAAATTGTTTCATAGCGTTAATTCCTCATTTCAACTTTAGATAATTCTAACAACCGTATTTTCACTATAGTTATATAAATAAACAATATTAAATTTTCCTACAATTCACACTATAGTAAATAAGCTTGGCAGCTAGAATTAGTCTTCCATCTATAACGAACAGGTCTGCGGATTTGCGAACAAGAGATGTGAAGGAAGATGGTTTGTTTAATGAAAATTGTCAAGGGAAAGATCAAAATATGAGAATTCACTCAAGGCAAAAACAGAATCTTTTGCATATTTTTCAAGTACAATTAGTTTTTTATTTTCTACTCTTGATTAAATGTCACTGAATTTTAAAATTCTGAAATTCTACTTTAAAAAGTCTTTAACGTGCTACAGTTACTTGGGTACAAGTAAATATGTTAATAAAGAACTAATGTTGCGAATAAGATCACCCCCAAAGCATACTCTGTTACTTTGAAGATAACATTTTCCTTTGTCCCCTTCTCTCAGAGCTGAATTCAGTATTTTGACTCTGGCTGACGAGAAGCCATACTGGCTGACATATGCAAGTCTGTTTCTCCCTACATCAGATCATAGCAAAGGAGCTTTGGTCTAACAAGCACCGGTGATAAATCTCTTGCAGGATTATTCAATATAGTGAAAATTCCGAGTGAATTTCTAGTTTAAGGCCAGAGTAACTAAAATCAAAGCACGGCTGACTTAGAGAATTTTTCCAGTTCGGCTATTTTTTTTACCTTAAATTTGAAATTCACTTTGAATTCTCACTTTAGTGATTACATTTTTGATTTCTGATGTTTTGTGTACAAGGACAGGAAGGCACACTTCATTTCAGGAAATACTGTTTAACGTTTGTAGATGCATGAAATAGATATTCACCTGTGGCACTAGATAATAATAATGAGAGAAATATTCGGGACAGATACAGTAAAATAAACAAAACGCCAAGACTAATGTGCGTTCTTTTTATATGGAGAAAAGGCAGATACGAGGCACAAGTAGTTTGCTTTTATCTTCAGTCAAAATCGATGTTCTTATGGATCAGTGAAGCCAATCATTACTTAATATTTTGATTCATGCATTTATTAAAAAATGAAGTCATTACTTGTTTTTGTGGTTGTGATGTGATGGGATTGAAATCCTTTCTTACCATGCAACATTCTGACTTACCTGGGGGGGAAATTGTGCCAAAAACCCTCTCCTAAAAACAAGGTTTAAATAATAAATTAAAGAAAAAAAAAGAAAACAATTATCTAAGCATCGCACAGGGATGTTTTTAATTGTTGTTCTAAAGAGCAAAGTCAACGTAGTTGAAGCATCCTCCAGTTCATGTATAATTTATGCAAATTAGATATTAATTTATGTAGATTAAAATGACATTTTCTCCATACTGTTTAGCTGTAGAGTTCTTGTACAGAATGATCAGATTATGACTACGAATAGCAAGAATATTCACTCTTTAACGCGTGCAGAGTAAATCTGTCTTGCCTTGTCTGTCTGCACAATTAAATTATCGAATCCCAAGGCTAGGATACTGTATCAAGCCATTAAACTGACTCGAATCATGGCTAAGTAATATGATTACACATAATTTATATTCCATTCTGACCCCAGGTCTAATTTGCCAAAACAGAGTTACATAACAAAGCAAAAAATGTGATTGGTACCATCTGAAAATGGTTTCAGTCGTCTGCAACATATAACTGTAAAAGGTTAAAAAACAAATAATTCCCCTTATTACAACTCACATTTAATAAAAACAAGACATTTATAATAAATTCTATCATGGTTTGTCCATTTTTGGGTGCAGTGTAATTAGTGCACTGGTGGATCAGCTTGCAAGTTGTTGTTTTTTGATGTGATGTTTTGTTTCTGCATATTTTGGGGCGCGAGTATCCCTCTAAAATTGCTCATGTTGTTGTCTAGTATAACAGAGAGAATAAATAGTAAAGGCTATTTAGTGCAGTACTATGACATCAGATTGTGATGACATCGAAGAAGGACCAGAAGCCGAAAGACCTTGGCGCAGGAAAAATTTAAAAAGTTACAAAAATATATATTTTTTAACCCTTTGATAGCCGTGGGTGTGACTGGGAAAGATTTTGTGTGTCTTATCCTCTTACAAACATGCAAGATTCAGAACCAGTAAAAAAAAATGAATAGAATAGTTCTTCATGGGAATGACCTACATTGAGCTCAGCCTGTCAGCCTTGCATCCACCATCTTCTTCCTGGCAGGGCCGGATTAACATAGGGGCTGATGGAGCTGCAGCTCTAGGCCCAGGCCCATGGAATAGGCCCATTGATTTAAAAAAAAAAACAAAAAAAATTATTATTATTATTTATTTATTTTTACTTTTTTTTTCACACACTACTCTTAGGGATTCCACCTGGCTTTTATTTTATTGGCACAGCCAATATTTGAGGCTGCCTGGCTGGTGCCAATATTGCAGTGATACTGGCAATATAAATGCTGGTATTTTTCTCAGTATAAACAAGAGATTACTATGCAATACCAGCACTGGCTAGTAGGGGCTGTATGTGGAGACAGGCAGGGATAGGAATTTCCAGCATTTCCCTCCCTGCCTATCTATACTCACTGATCTGCAGGGGTGCAGCTACAGAGAGTCCAGACAGCAACTCCCACCCTGCAGAGACAGCCTACAGCTCAGGGAAGTAAGGGATGGGGGGAAAGGCTGCAAGGAGACATACACTGAGATACTAAGGGACATTGGGAGACATTATGACACAGACACATGGGGACACAGTGTCCCCATGTCTCCCAGCCAGTGTCCCTGGTGTCTCAGTGCCCCCTAGTCTCCCAGTGACCCCTAGTCTCCTAGTGCCCCCAGTCTGCCAGTGTCTCACTGTCCCCATGTCTCCTAGTGCCTCCATGTCTCTCCGTGCCTCAAGTGTCACAATGTCCCCATGTCTCCAAGCTAGTGTCCCTAGTGTATGTGGCCCTGGTGTCAGTGTCCCCATGTCTCCCAGTGCCCCCATGTTTCAATGTCCCCATGTCCCCCAGCCAGTGTCTCTAGTGTCTGTGTCCTTGGTGTCTGTGTCCCCATGTCTTCAAGTGTCCCCTATTTTCCCATTGTCCCCATGTGTCCCAGCCAGAGTCCCCTAGTCTCCCAGTGTCACTGGTGTCTCCGTGTCCCTAGGTCTCCCCGTCCCCAGGTCTCCAGTGTCCTAGTGACATGGGGACCCTGGGATACATGGGGACACAGGGAGACATGGGGCATTGAGACACTGTGATACATAGGATCACTGGGAGACCTGGGGACACGACACTAGGGGACACTGGGAGACATGGGGCACTGAGACACTGATACATAGGAACACTGAGACTTGGAGTAATCGACACATGGGGGCACTGAGTCATGAGGGCACTGGGAGGAATCCATCTATACAGCAGAATCAAACTAAGTAGTTTTTTGGTGATTTTACTAAATTTTCTCTTATGTCACTCCTTGTGATTTACATCATGTGATGTCACCCATATATATTTAATTATGCAAATTAGTAAGGCCGGTATGTTTTTCCAAGAAAGGTGGCAACCCTAACTACTTTTCACATACTCTTACTTAAGTATGGAAACTTAAGAGGGATGTATGGGAACAAAACTTGTGTGGACTGGCTGACAATGAATATGGTTAAAGGGA